GATGAGATGGAATAGGATCAAGCGGACAAGTAGTAGGATGATATACTGACATACTGCCCTCTATAATAAATACACCTTTAGTATGAACAAACTGATCTTGATCTGGTTGCAGATGAACATAAATGAGCTAGTTCAGCATCAAATGTCGGTTCATAGGTGCAGATAAACTTGTTTTTCACATAAGTCGAAGGGAACCTGTAGTAAGAGGGTTGAGTGACCGAGCTTGAGGAGTGGTCAGAAGTGCAGTTGAAGGAGGTTACGTGCTTGTCTTCCCCCGTCCTGTAGAAGGAGGATGAGGACGACCTGTCGGAGCTGCAGCTGCGTCTCCTGGCTCTGCAGTCGGCCAGCAGGAGGTGGCAGCAGAAGGAGCAGCAGGTGCTGAAGGAGAGCAAGGAGAAGATCACCAAAGCTGTTAAAGCGCCTCAGGACAAGAGCGAGGCTCCGTGCGACAGGAACAAGATGAGTGGAAACCGAGGGAACGCTGTGTGCAGGCTGCAGGAGAGAGCGAGACCTGCCAAACCTGCTCCGGACAAGAGCAGAGCGAGGAAACCGGCCCACCTGAGTAAGACACACACTCACGCTGACACACCGATCACATCTGTCACTCCGCACTACTGCATGTGTCTGTTGATTGCAGCCAAGCAGGCCTGGAGGAAACAGCAGCTGCGCACCTGGAAACTGCAGCAGCAGAGGCAGCAGGAGGAGCAGAGGAGCAAGCAAGAGGAAGAGGAGGAGAGGAGGAAGAGAGAGGACGAGATTCGGAAGATCAGAGACCTGTCCAATCAGGACGAGCAGTACAACCGCTTCATGAAGCTGGTGGGCTCCAGACATCGCTCCCGCAGCAAGGTCAGACAGTCCAGTCCAGTGATAGGATGGCCTGGAGCTCAGCAGAGTCTGATTGATTATGATGTGACGTGTGCTTTCTTACAGTCTGCAGATGCTGATCAGAGGAAACTGGTCAAGCAGAGTCTGGACACGTCGGGGAATCTCTACCAGTACGATAACTACGATGAGGTGGCTATGGATACGGACAGCGAAACCAATTCGCCAGGTACAGGAGACGAGTGACGCACACGTGTCTCATCAGGAGCACAGTCGCTGCTCCGCTGAATTTCACTTTTCTGACTGTAACCGTGAATGTCGATGATTGTTTGCAGCCACGTCTCCGACACATGACGCGCTGCCTGTGTTTCCTCTGGAATCCACACCTCTCAGACAGGTACGTTTAACCCAGACATCAGTCACATGGTGTGGAGATGAAACGCCAGCTGAGATCACCAGAAAAAGATAGGTGCTTAATATGTGACAATCATAAACTGACGACCAAACCGTTGCTTCCTGTCTCTATAATATTGCTTTAAAAATACTGAATCAGGAGAG